CACCCCCCACCCCATACATCCACCACATCAGTGTTTAACTTCAAAAAGGGGAACTATACAAAAGTATCTTCGGATATCCCTCAAAGCGAGGATTTTCATTGTGGGTTCATTGGTGGGTTTTTAAGTGGTTGAGGAGCCCAATGCATGCTCTGCAGATTTTTCCCACAAAAGTGACAGGTGTAATCTTGGAGGAGACATAGATGTTGACTGGAGTGTGGTGCTCCTTCTTTCCTCTGTTGTCAGTTCTCTGTCTTTTGAACGTGTCTGTTCTCCTCAAAGTGAGCTATGGCTTGGTGTATGGTCTGGCGCCACTGTGTTCTGTTCTGTGCTGAGTCCTCCCAATTTCTTGGTTTGATTCCTCTCTTTTTAAGGTGTACTTTCAGAATGTATTTGAAGTGCTTCCACTGCCCTCCGCGAGCCCTTCTTCCCTGACTTAACTGAGAGAAGAGTACTCGTATTGGGAGGTGAGTGTCAGACATACAAATACAGTGGCCTGCCCAGCGGAGTTGGTGTTTCATGACCTGTGCTTCTATACTGCTGATGTTGGTTGCAGAGAGAACGCTGATGTTAGTGTGTTGGTCTTCCCAGCCGATCCTAAGAATCCTCCTGAGGCAGCGCTGCTAGAACCACTCTAGCCGCTTGAGATGTCATCAGTAGGTTACCCAGGTCTCACACTCATAGAGAAGGGTGGGGATGATAACTGCCTTATAAACCATCATCTTGGTGCCTGTTTGCAGATCCCTGTCTTTGAAGAATTGTTTGAGTAGTCTTCAAAAGTATGTGCTGTCACAGTGGATCCTGTATTCAATTTCTGTGTCAATTCTCGCTGTTTGCGAGAGGTAGCTGCCAAGGTATGGAAAATGGTTCACATTTTCCATGGGTTCTGTGCTGATGGTGATTTGTGGAGTACGAAGAGTAGTTTGTGCAGGTGAGGGCTGGTAGAGTACCTTGGTCTTCCCAATGTTGTGAGAGAGACCGAGGCTGTGACAGGCATCTGCAAAAAGATTTAGGTACTTTGCAGGTTGTTCTCTGTGTGTGTGTGAGAACGATGTAGTCATCTGCATACTGAAGGTCAGTGATGCCAATTCTTGTGATCTTAGAATTTGTATGGAGATGTCAGAGATTAAGGAGTTGGCCATCCATATCCTGATTCCATCAGGAAGGCGGTCATGGATGAGAATCAGGATCACAGCAAGGCAAATGGAGAAGAGTGTTGGAGCAATGACAGAGCCCTGCTTAACACCAGTGCGAAGGATAAATGGTTCGGTCTCTGAGCCATTGCACAGAATGGTGGCAGTCATTTCATCAAGGAGTAGTCTGACTATGGAAATGAATTTCTGTGGACAGCTAAACCTACACACCACCTTCCATAGGGCATCACAATTGATAGAGTCAAATACCTTGGTTAGATCAATGAATGCCATTAACAGTTCCTGGTGTTGCTCTCTGCATTTCTCCTGAATCTGTTGTGCCACGAAAATCATGTCAGTTTTGCCTCCGGATGGCCTAAAGCCACACTGTGATTCAGGAGGAGTTCCTCAGCAAGGGGGAGAAGGTGGTTTAGTAGGATCTGGGCAAGGATCTTCCCTGCGATGGAGAGGAGGACAATACCTCTGTAGTTCCTGCACAAATATTTGTCCCCCTTCTTGAATATTGTAACAATGTTGGGCATTCTTACAATCAGGTGGAATTTCTTTGCAGACCCAGATTTTGTCGAGGAGTTGGCAAAGTTTGTGCTGGAGCATTGTTTCACCAACTTTAAAAACCTCAGTTGAGATGCCCTCTGGGCCTGATGCCTTGTGATTTTTTGATGGCATGCTGGACTTCCTCAGAAGAGGGGGGATTAGCAAGGTGTTCCATTGCTGAGCCTTGTGGAACAGACTTGGTGTCTTCAGAGACCATGGATTCACGGTTTAGTAGGCTCTCAAAGTACTCCTTTCCACATTGTTGAATGGCCGTATTGTCCTTGGGGAGGGTGGAGCCATCCTGGGAACATAGGGGGGTTGGGCCTTTGAAGTTGGGCCCATATATAGCTTTTGTCGCTTTAAAGAAGCTTCTCATGTCATCCTGGTCTATAAAACCCTGGATCTCAGAGGCCTTCTCTTGCCACCACTTATTTTTGATGTCACATAGCCTCCTTTGGACTTTGGCTTTGAGCAGATAAGTGTTATGTTTTTGTTGGTTACAGGAATCATTTTTCCAGTTACAGAATGCACTTCTTTTCTCTTGAATTAATGCTATGATTTCCTCATTGTTTTCTCTAAACCAGTCTTTGTGCCAATTAGTGGAATATCCTATAGTTTCAGCACATGCATTGTGACTAGTATTTTTATGACAATGATATTGTCAGGCAAGTTAGAGTTTTCCAGACAGTTGTTGCTGGAATGTCTAGCAGCTGGCTTGGTCCTGAAGTGCTTTCGCTTAGTCTTTGGTATATGCGGTGTGGTGGATTTGACGGATTGCAACCTTGTCATGGTAGAGAGGCTTGCGTGGGCTAAAGACCCTCAGACCACATCACCCGGAGCTTTCATACTCCTGGTAGGGTCCCCCTTGGCGAGCAGGTCTGAGGCGAGGCTCCTGACTAACCATGGTCCAAACTTCACAAGACCCCAACAGAGGATCAGGGGCATATAGAGGACCTTTTAATACTCTGTGGCTGTGAAGGCAGGTGAAACTTCACTTTCAAATTTAGCAGTCTGAACAGCTTAATGGCTTTAGTTTGGTGTCTCTGGGCACTCATGGGATTTACAAAAAGAGAAGGAAGAGTTCTGGAGACTAGCTTGCCTGAAAGCAGAACTGAACTTTTAGGCAGCTATAGGTAAGGGGATCAAGTCCTACCCTCACTGACAGTTCTGGTTTTGCCTTTAGTCTGATCCTGAGAAGAAGAATGCTAACGTAGAATATCTTGAGTTTAGTGATATTTCCTAAGAAAATGCTGGATCTAGCAAGAGCTTACAGCTAATTCCCTGTAACCAAGAGCCTCCTCACAAGACAGCATAAGAAAGATCGTGTTCCTTTCCTGCCTCCCTGACCACAACACAGAAATGAAGTAGTTGGGTCCCATGTCTGATTTCCCAGATTCTCACAATCATGAGATTCTCCTCAAAAGTTAACTGTAGGTCTCTGATGCTTGGGAAAGAAATGTCAAAGAGAAAAGGACATTTCTTCTCCTTTTTGGAATCTAGTCTCCAGAACAGGAAACACCCATAAACTTAGTAAGAAAAAAATCTTCCAAATTTAAGAATTGAGAGCATTCATCATTTCTTTGATGTGTACAAGGAAATATTCATAACTAGTAACCAGACACTCTGGGTTTGAGTCATTTAATCCTTGAGAACAAGAGTTGTCACACCTTTTCATCAGCCCAATATGGACAATATCTGTTGATTAAAGTATCTCATTTTTTAAAAAAATACTCTGTGTGCCAGCACCATAAGACTAGAGATTGCATTCGGTTCTCTTCTGTAATATGGCATAAAAATGTAACTAAAATGAGAAACTGATTTGACTGAAAGGGAAAAAAAACTATTCAAGGCATGAGAATGTTCACATTTCTGCACATGTGGGTGCTACACGGTAAAAATAGTGAATGAGCACTGCAAACATCCCAAACACATGGAAACTGGGAATTTTACATTTGTTTAGGATATTAATCCTTCAGATCAAATGTAATACGGTTGGCACATGCCTCTTGCGAGCGCCCCCTCCCTGGTCCAATACAAGCCTACTCACTCAGTTTTGAATGGGGTGGCACGTGCCTCTCTCAAGCATGCACCTCCCAAGGGAGGGTTCTTTTGCAGGGTCTTCGGTGACACTCCCTTCCAGCCGAGAAACACATACTGTTGCTCACTTCCAGGGTATACAGTATCTAGTTCTTTCTCAGGCCCTGGTACAGGTCCATAGCACCAAGGCTTCCTCCCTGGAGGTATTGCCTTCTTTAACATCCTAACAGGGGCCCATCTTGGTACGCTCAGTTGATGTCCTGTCAGCAGCCCTCCCTGGGCTCAGTCTTCGACCAGATCAGCAGGGCCCATCATGGTACCCTCGCTTGGTCTGATTATATTCTGGGCTCAGTCTACCCACACTGACCTGAAATTGATCCTGCTGCTCTTCCAGCCAACCAGGTACCCAGTCCTCCCTCTTTGAGCTCCAGAAAGAACTGGTTACTCTGCCTCTGCTGCTGCTTCCTTTTATATGGTCCTTCTGGCCCCTGATTGGTCGCTCCAGCATCCCCTCTGATTGGCTGCTGGGAGGACTTCTCCTCTGCTTTTTTCTGGGGAGGGAAGAGGCAGGGCCACAAGGCCTCCAGCAGGTGGCCTCTGAATCTAGTCTACCCTGTCACACCAAAGTAGATACTGAGAATGATTACATTCTTCCTGGGTGTCTCAGCACTCTTTCCTCTTTAAAATGTTTCCCATCTCATTAGCTCTCACGTAGCACCTTCTGTAGCCAAAGAGGACTCCCATATCACTTAAGTAAGTATCTACCACAATTTTCCAAACCAGCTGTTCCCAAAAGTCAGCTGCTTTGTGTGCTAGGAGCCACTTCAAACCTCTTCAATTGCTTCCTGGGCTGAGGAAGCATGTAGGATCCAGCAGCAGGGGAAGAAGTGTACAGTGAGACTGTTTAGATATTGCAGTGATTGGTGTTATAGAATAACCATCCTAATATATAGGTATGATATGCAAAATCCACTGATTAGACAAGGCAAGTTCAGGGAGAAGGTCAACTTCCCAGCAGAGGTGAGGCAGGATCAAACAATACTGCAGCCACTCCCAGAAGCCACACAAACTCTCCCTCCTTTGTGGCAGAGCCTCCTGCCCAAAAAAGTCTGTTACCTAGCCCCCAGACAACAATCATATAAGAACTGGCCAATTTCCTAACAGTTAATTCATGCTGCTATGTGTTTTTGTAAATAATAATGCAGGTCTTGCCTTTGCCAAATACAGCTTTGCACTGTCTCTCGTGGTTACGGCATCTCCCTTGGAAACAACAGTCTTTGTCACCGCATGGAGTTCCATCCTGCTTAAATACATCCTCTGGGCACCAGCTTGAAGTCCCATTGCAGTACTCAGGAAGGTCACACTCACCAATACTTTCTCTGCATATTTTCCCTTGTCTATGCAACTGTTAAAATAAGAATACAAGGATCTGGAGGGGATTTCTCTCTGGAGGCCTATTCCACAAGCCGCCATTTGCCTTCTTAAAATGTGTTTGTTTTAGGAGTCCCCAAACATTTAACAGGTAAGAAAAAAAGCCACCTGCAGTTGGTTTGACATTTATTTTAACACAGATCAGGTAAGAGGAAGATGCAACATAAATACTCCTTGTGCTGTTAATTAAGGAGTGCACTCTAATTCCAGTATTTAAAATATTTATGATTCTTTTCCACTCCCAAATGATGATAAATTCTTCATATTTTTAATCAATAACAATGGACAATGGAAAATATAGTTTTTGCCTATCTACTCTTTTTTTTCATGTGGAGTCTGCTGAGACTATAGCTGGGGTCTCTTCACCCACAGTGTTCTATCACTGAGGAGAGGGGGATGGGACCCACCTATCTATATCCTCTACAGAATGAGTACTTAGTAGAAGTGGATAGAAATTTCATGCTCTAATAAGAATATAACATTAGGGATCTATTATCGACCACCTGACCAGGACGGTGATAGTGATGATGAAATGCTAAAGGAAATTAGAGAGGCTATCAAAATTAAGAACTCAATAATAGTGGGGGATTTCAATTATCCCCATATTGACTGGGAACATTTCACTTCAGGACGAAATGCAGAGATAAAACTTCTCGATACTTTAAATGACGGCTTCATTGAGCAGATGGTACGGGAACCCACAAGGGGAGAGGCAACTCTAGATTTAGTCCTGAGTGGAGCGCAGGAGCTGGTCCAAGAGGTAACTATAGCAGGACCGCTTGGAAATAGTGACCATAATACAATAGCATTCAATATCCCTGTGGAAGGAAGAACATCTCAACAGCCCAACACTGTGGCATTTAATTTCAAAAGGGGGAACTATGCAAAAATGAGGGGGTTAGTTAAACAGAAGTTAAAAGGTACAGTGACTAAAGTGAAATCCCTGCAAGCTGCATGGGTGCTTTTTAAAGACACCATAATAGAGGCCCAACTTCAATGTATACCCCAAATTAAGAAACACAGTAAAAGAACTAAAAAAGAGCCACTGTGGCTTAACAACCATGTAAAAGAAGCAGTGAGAGATAAAAAGACTTCCTTTAAAAAGTAGAAGTCAAATCCTAGTGAGGCAAATAGAAAGGAGCATAAACGCTGCCAAATTAAGTGCAAGAATGTAATAAGAAAAGCCAAAGAGGAGTTTGAAGAACGGCTAGCCAAAAACTCCAAAGGTAATAACAAAATGTTTTTTAAGTACATCAGAAGCAGGAAGCCTGCTAAACAACCAGTGGGGCCCCTTGATGATCGAGATACAAAAGGAGCACTTAAAGACGATAAAGTCATTGCGGAGAAACTAAATGGATTCTTTGCTTCAGTCTTCACGGCTGAGGATGTTAGGGAGATTCCCAAACCTGAGCCGGCTTTTGTAGGTGACAAATCTGAGGAACTGTCACAGATTGAAGTGTCACGAGAGGAGGTTTTGGAATTAATTGATAAACTTAACATTAACAAGTCACCGGGACCAGACGGCATTCACCCAAGAGTTCTGAAAGAACTCAAATGTGAAGTTGCGGAACTGTTAACTAAGGTTTGTAACCTGTCCTTTAAATCAGCTTCTGTACCCAGTGACTGGAAGTTAGCTAATGTAACGCCAATATTTAAAAAGGGCTCTAGAGGTGATCCCGGCAATTACAGACCGGTAAGTCTAACGTCTGTACCGGGCAAATTAGTCGAAACAATAGTTAAGAATAAAATTGTCCGACACATAGAAAAACATAAACTGTTGAGCAATAGTCAACATGGTTTCTGTAAAGGGAAATCGTGTCTTACTAATCTATTAGAATTCTTTGAAGGGGTCAACAAACATGTGGACAAGGGGGATCCAGTGGACATAGTGTACTTAAATTTCCAGAAAGCCTATGACAAGGCCCCTCACCAAAGGCTATTATGTAAATTAAGCTGCCATTGGATAAAAGGGAAGGTCCTTTCATGGATGGAGAACTGGTTAAAAGACAGGGAACAAAGGGTAGGAATTAATGGTAAATTCTCAGAATGGAGAGGGGTAACTAGTGGTGTTCCCCAAGGGTCAGTCCTCGGACCGATCCTATTCAACTTATTCTTAAATGATCTGGAGAAAGGGGTAAACAGTGAGGTGGTAAAGTTTGTAGATGATACTAAACTGCTAAACATAGTTAAGTCCAAAGCAGACTGTGAAGAACTTCAAAAAGATCTCACAAAACTAAGTGATTGGGCAACAAAATGGCAAATGAAATTTAATGTGGATAAATGTAAAGTAATGCACATTGGAAAAAATAACCCCAACTATACATACAATATGATGGGGGCTAATTTAGCTACAACAAGTCAGGAAAAAGATCTTGGAGTCATCGTGGATAGTTCTCTGAAAATGTCCACGCAGTGTGCAGAGGCGGTCAAAAAAGCAAACAGGATGTTAGGAATCATTAAAAAGGGGATAGAGAATAAGACTGAGAATATATTATTGCCCTTATATAAATCGATGGTACGCCCTCATCTCGAATACTGCATACAGATGTGGTCTCCTCATCTCAAAAAAGATATACTGGCACTAGAAAAGGTTCAGAAAAGGGGAACTAAAATGATTAAGGGTTTGGAATGGGTCCCATATGAGGAGAGATTAAAGAGGCTAGGACTCTTCAGCTTGGAAAAGAGGAGACTAAGGGGGGATATGATAGAGGTATATAAAATCATGAGTGATGTGGAGAAAGTGGATAAGGAAAAGTTATTTACTTATTCTCATAATACAAGAACTAGGGGTCATCAAATGAAATTAATAGGCAGCAGGTTTAAAACAAATAAAAAGAAGTTCTTCACGCAGCGCACAGTCAACTTGTGGAACTCCTTACCTGAGGAAGTTGTGAAGGCTAGGACTATAACAGCGTTTAAAAGAGAACTGGATAAATTCATGGTGGTTAAGTCCATTAATGGCTATTAGCCAGGACGGGTAAGGAATGGTGTCCCTAGCCTCTGTCTGTCAGAGGGTGGAGATGGATGGCAGAAGAGAGATCACTTGATCATTGCCTGTTAGGTTCACTCCCTCTGGGGCACCTGGCATTGGCCACTGTCGGTAGACAGGATACTGGGCTAGATGGACCTTTGGTCTCACCCGGTACGGCCTTTCATATGTTCTTATGTTCTTAAGTATTACTGTAGCACCTCGGAGCCGTAGCCAAGGACCCAGATCTCACTGTGCTCGGCACTATACAAATATGGAACAAGAAGACAGTCCCAGCCCCAAAGAGCCAGAGCCCAAGTATAAGACAAGAGACAAATGATGGATTCAGATAGATAGGGGAGCATACAAGGAAACAATATGACTAACTATTGTCAATTTTTGGTAGGCATTAAGGAAAAGGAGAGTTTTGAGGTGGGTTTTGGAGGGTAATTGCTTAGTTTTAATCAATGTTTATGGAGAGCTCCTCACAATCATGAGGGGCAGCATGGGAGAAAGCATGAAAGTCCTTGTTTGAAAATTTAACAAGTGGGTAATGGAGGCTGACCTCAGGGGTGGATTGGAGTTGAGCGTCGACCACTCAGTAGTAAATGAGAGATGACATGGTGAGGATTGGTCAAGAAAGGTCTTGAAAGTGAAGAAAAGTAGCTTATATTTAATGTGATATAGAAGAGGGAGACAAGAGAGAGAAGTAAAAAGACAGGTGACATGGTCAAAGCGACAGACTAGGAAAATGATCTTTGCAGCAACATTATGAAAGGATTAGGGCTGTTGATTAATCACAGTTAACTCACGTGATTAATTCAAAAAAATTAATCATGGTTAAAAAATTAATCAAGATTAATCGCAGCTTTAATCTCACTGTTAAACAATAGAATACCAATTGAAATTTATTAAATATTTTGGATGTTTTTCTACATTTTCAAATATTTTGATTTCAGTTACAACACAGAATAGAAAATGTACAGTGCTTACTTTATATTATTATTTTATTAGAAATGTTTGCACTGTAAAAATGATAAAAGAAATAGTATTTTTCAATTCATCTCAGACAAGTACAGTAGTGCATTTTCTTATTCATGAAAGTGCAACTTACAAATGTAGATTTTTTGTTACATAACTGCACTCAAAAACAAAACAATGTAAAAGTTCAGCGCCTACACTTCCACTCAGTCCTACTTCTTGGTTAGCCAATCTCTAAGACAAACAAGTTTGTTTACATTTACGGGAGATAATGCTGCCCACTTATTTACAATGCCACCTGAAAGTGAGTACAGGCATTTGCATGGCACTTTTGTAGCCGGCATTGTAAGGTATTTACATGCCAGATATGCTAAACATTTGTATTCCCCTTCATGCTTCAGCCACCATTCCAGAGGACATGCTACCATGCTCATGACACTCGTTAAAAGAAAAGTGTTACTTAAATTTGTGACTGAACTCCTTGGAGAAAACTGTATGTCTCGTGCTCTGTTTTACCTGCATTCTGCCATATATTTCATGTTATAACAGTCTTGGATGATGACCCAGCACATGTTCTTCATGTTAAGAATACTTTTACTACAGATTTGACAAAACACAAAGAAGTTACCAATATGAAATTGTACGAGGAGATTTTGGCAAACCAGTAAAGTGCCTGAAACCACTATGGCTTATTGTTAAAGGCAGCCTAGTCAGCAAGCTGTAAATTGGCCATTCAGCAGTCTCAGCTTGACCAAGGCAGGAGCGGGGGGGAATTTTGGGTGCTTCAGAAAGGGAAGCTTGACCCCGCGTCCTTCCTGATAAGAATTGTGTTGAAGTTGCTGATACATCCATTTTAAAAGACCAGGATTTGCCCCAGGAATGTCTATTGGGGTCTCAAGGCTGCAAACTCTGGAAAAACCCACACCTGGTTAATCAATAATCAGAAGGAGCCTCTTGCTTGCCCATTGGAACTGCTTGCTTAACAAGTTTTCTTTAAGGGACATGTCATTCTATTACTAATGTATAAATAAGGGGAAAAAGCTTGATATGGTTGGACTCGTTTGGGGACTCTTTTGGACTCTCCCTCTGGATACATCTTGCAGTCCCCACCGGCAGACGGAAGATTTGGCCACCGGAAGCCTGCCGCTGTGTCACTCGAAAGCCACACTCAGGTTTGGTAATTATCAAGGGTTGGGGGTGTTTTACTAATCTGTTGTGGATGTGTGTGAATGCTTGAGACTAAGTAAAGTGTAGCTTTAAGTGAAAGCACTCTTATGTTGTCCTGTTTGTGCCAGCCATCTATTGGTCGGACGGCCGTATCTCCCCTGATTTATTTCCTGACACCACCTTGCACAGAGTAAAAGTTACCAAGAACTTTGGGTTGAAAGAACCCCGGGTAACAAAATTTCTAAAGATACAGCACTTGACCCAAGGTTTAAGAATATGAAATGCCTTCCAAAATCTGAGAGGGACGAGGTGTGGAGCATGCTTTCAGAAGTTTTAAAAGACCAACACTCTGATGGAGAAACTACAGAACCCAACCACTGAAAAAGAAAATCAACTGTCTGCTGGTGGCATCTGACTCAGATGATGAAAATGAAAATGCGTCGGTCCACACTGCTTTGGATTGTTATCGAGCAGAACCCGTCATCAGCATGGACCCATGTCCTCTGTAATGGTGGTGGAAGTATGAAGGGACATATGACTCTTTAGTGCATCTGGCATGTAAATATTTTGCAATGCCAGCTACAACAGTGCCATGTGAACACCTGTTCTGACTTTCAAGTGACATTGTAAACAAGAAGCGGGCAGCATTATCCCCCGCAAATGTGAACACACTTGTTTGTCTGAGCGATTGGATGAACAAGAAGTAGGACAAAGTGGACTTGTAGGCTCTAAAGTTTTACATTTTTTTGTTTTTCAATGCAGTTATTTTTGTACATAATTCTACATTTGTAAGTTCAACTTTCATGATAAAGTGATTGCACTACAGTACTTGTAATGGGGGAATTGAAAAATACTATTTATTTAGTTTTTTACAGTGAAAATATATGTAATCAAAACTAAATATAAAGTGAGCACTGTACACTTTGTATTCTGTGTCATAATTGAAATCATTATACTTGAAAATGTAGAAAACATCCATAAATATTTAATAAATGGGTATTCTATTATTGTTTAACAGCGCGATTAATCGTGTGATTAACTTAGATTCATTTTTTTAATTGCTTGACAGCCCTAGAAAGGATATGTGTGGGGAAAGATTGCATTTGTCAAGACCAGAGAGAAGGATATTGCAGTAATTGAATTGTGAGATGATGAGAGCTGGGATGAGAGTTTTAGGTGTTTGACTGGATTAAAAAGTTATACAGAAAGAATTGGCAAGGTTAACAAACTGCTCAGACGTGAGGTACTAGAGACCAGGTCAATGATGGCACCTAGGTTACGGGCCTGAGGGACAGACAGGATGGTGTTGTCCACAATGATCAAAAGGAGGTAGTGGGGAGGGCATGGTGGGGATGGAGAGAAAGATATGAAGAGTTCTGTTTTAGCCATGTTGAGCTTGAGCTGATGGCTGGACCTCCACGAGGAGACATCAGAGATTTCTGTTTGGGGAGAGGAAGACAAGCCTGGAGTAGCAAAGTAGATCTGTAAGAATGTGCTTTGTTTTATCTGAAAGGAGAGTCCGGATGCTTCCTTCTCTGCCAATTCTAGAGGATTCCATGAATCTTTGAGTAAATGCAGCCTGAATAACTGGGCACAGGGGAAAAAGAAGGCCTGGCTGTGTGCCTAGTGCTACACATCTATAGAAAACATCCTTTGAACTTTTGCCCAGTTTTTCTCAGCTACTGGGGTGGAAGGATCGGGTGATGTGATGAAGCTGGATTGCTCTCAGAGGGCTCCTACTCATGAGGACAGAAGTAAAGGGCTGTAAGGATGGTAGGTAGTGGAAGTGAATATAGAGTTTCTTCAATCCCACAAGCTTCTCTGCTGAGTCCCATATGTCCTGACCAATTGAGATACTGATCTGTAGGGTGGGCTGAATGGAAGCACTTTCTACTACTGTACTGGTTCTTGCAGCAACAGGTGCCACACTTATTGCATCAGTGATAGCACAAGAACTCTCTGCTGTTGACACAGGCTTTTCTGGGGTCTATAGGAGATGACTTTATCCTTTATGTGGAATCCTAAGTTGGGGGAATGGCTGTCACCATGGTCTCCTCCAGATGATCTGAGAAATCTCAGACAGATCTCCAGAGAGTGCAGAAGAGGAACTTATTTCTCTTTAAATAAGGATATCTTGCACTGGGAGCTGGAATAGGCTGTCCTCCTTCATGTGAGCCATCTTGACAGTGGCCAGGCTCACATGACTCTGGACATATAGGCACTCCATACTATGGCAGGAAGCCAAGAATGACGATGAAGGAAGAGAAGGACAATAGACAAAAATTAGAAGTCCAGGTAGGAAGATAATATTGGGGAAAATATCAATTGGGGGATGTTTTGAACTCACATACGGTATGACTACACAGCATTTGGGAAGGAGCCTCTCAGCCAAGGTCCACAGACTTGTGCTAGGAGGGCTCGTGCTAGTGCACTTTTTTAGCTGTGTAGCTGGTGCTTTGACATTTTGACTCAGGCTGGAGCCTTTCCTTCTGCCCCAGGTTTGGAGTGTGAGCTCCAGCCCAAGCCACAACATCAAAGCACTGTCTACACAGCACACTAGAGCACACACTACTAGCACAAGTCTGTTGACCTAGGCTGGGAGGCTCACTCCCAAAAGCTGAGTAGACATTCCAATAGGGCTTGGAGCCATGCACTGCCAACGGAGGCAGAACATTCTGGAGAGGATGTTGATGGGCAGGTCCTTTCAACCTCTCACCAGTCTGTCATTGACAGCATTAGCTGCCATCCTAGGTGAGGGCCCTAACTGCCAGGTTATAAAATCATTCTCACACTTTCCCTGGCCCATTGACTATTCAGACATGCATAATGATAATGGATTGTTATCCAAAAACATTTGATTTGGTCAAAATCATTCAGAGAACTCTACATGAATTAGCAAATGGTTTTGGGTTGACTAAAATTTCCTTTTTCAGCAAATAAACTATTTGCTAAAAACAAATTGCTCAACTCTAATCCCAACCCATCTACATGGGATTAGCAGATGCAGCACTTGAGCAGGAAATTGTGAAAATGAATAGTATTGCACTGGCTACTAACTTTTAAAACAAGTAATGAAACAGTCAGCTTACCATAAAATACAAAACCTACTATACGTTTTTCTTACCTGACAGTTTTTGCAGCAAAGTCCAGAAACACAAGCAGCACCTTGTTTTATTGTACAATTGGATAGGCAACAACCACTCCGTAGGCACACCTTCAAGTAGAAAATGAATGGCACCTCACCTTAAAAATCTGTTGTGGGACTCTCCTGGAATAACAGCACTCTTACCATTTATTGTTTGATTTCAAACACTAACAAAGCTTAGTGAATTTGAGAGACAAACTTCTGTTTCTTACCTAGTGCTAATTACGTAGAATTTTTTAAAAGATATTATTATTACTACTATTATTTGCTATTTCTTCTACTCAAGGAATCCAAATAGAATGCTGCCTACAAGAGAGGAAGGATGGTCCAGTGGTTAGGGCAGCCACTTGGGACTACGGGTACTGGGTTCAATTGTCTGCTCTGCTGTGAGCTTAGGCAAGTCACTTAGTTTTCTATTCGTCAGTTTCCTATCTGTAAAATGGGGGCAATAGGGAAGTACGATCTCACAGGGGTGTTGTGAGGATAAATACATTTAAAAATTTTAAAAGATTGTGAGGTGCTGACATTACAGTTACATAAGTACCATAGATATATGTAATATTTCTAATGATTTTAAGATATTTGCAAACAAAATTTAATAATTTCATTTTAATGTAAACTTTTAAAGGCAGATGCACCAATATACTAGAGTAACACAAAGAAGCCAAAATGTACTTTATGAATCTGTCACTGATTTTCTAATTGACTTACTGGCTTGCAGGATTGTGTTAGTGAGACTGGTACTATGTGATATTAGGTGTGGGGATAGCATAGTCCATGAGTCCCAATGTCGCCATGCTTTAAGGGCATCCCCTGTACTCCTGCCTCAGTTCTCCTGTCTGTGTTGCCAAAATGGGAGTGGTGCCAAGATAACCTTTTAAGGTGGGGAGCCTTTTAAGCACTGATGTTTGAGCTAGTATGCAGCTATGCAATCTTTAAAGATCAGTGAGTTTAGCCACATAAGCTGCATGTTTCCAGTCTCCCCTCGAACCAGAGCCATTCTACCCAATAGAATTGTGGCATGTAAATTAGCTGCAGATGATGGGTGGTGATTGATTGAGTTAGCAGCGCTGCAGCTGTGCCACCCTGGCATTTCAAGTGTAGACAAGCCTTTAGTTATTTAGGCACCTGACTGCCACTTCTTGAAGTGATGCTATATAATAATTATTACAAGCAAGAGCGTATCTCTTGGGCTTCCAGATCCTGGGGAAAAAAGACTAAATCCTTTTAATTCTGAGTCTAAAAGAAACAAGGAGTGAATACAGGATGGTGGCAGCAACAATACAAGATAGAAAGGACATGTGTCAGCTGTTCACCAGAGAAGAAGCAGGTCCTCAAAGTAACTGAAAGTTTATATATTGTCACAATGACCTTTACATCTTTTCTTAAACAATTGCATATAAGATGGATACAGAATTAATTAATTTAAACAAAGTGGGTTATACTGATACCACTGACCAAATCAGGCCAGAGAAAGGAACCCAGAAGGGCACTGCCACCTCCACATGCTAACTCCAGAACCCCAGCTGGGATGTGACACTTCATCTCTTTTTCTCCACACCCACCCCCAATCTTTCCCTGTGTGTCCTCTTACTTCCTCACCTTATTTCTTCTCTTTCCTAACACGCTCCTTTTTCCTTCTGTTTAATAAATGCCTGCTTTAGCTGGATAAGACTGTATACTTTGCAACATGGCTGTAAGCCTGTGACCAGAAAGGCAGCTAAAAACAATGCCCTAAACATCCCAATGGTGGTACAAGTTTGTCATGTCAAAGAGTGACTGATAAGACCCTGTGCTATGCCTGTGTTTCTGCACCAATAAGGTTGCAAGTTAGAGTCGGCACCAGAGACAGAAACTGCATTTTCTATCTTTGGTGTTCCTTTCTCTCCTCTGTTGTGTATTTGTCTTGTTTTGCCAGGATCGGACTTCAAGAAAAATGCAAAAACAACAGTTCTAATCCATCTCCATTGACCTTCCTCTCTTGTCCCCAACAAGAATAGTTATTATTATGTTTGACACCATTTAAAACACTGTTAAATAGGGGTTTTTTCCTAGTAAAAACTCTGTCCAGCTAAGGAAAAGGAAAAAGGGATATTGTCAAAATGAAAGCCTTATTTAATACTTTACATTTCAAATGCTTGAACTGTTTTTTCCTTTTCTTCTGCATGGTTAATAATAGGTTCAATGGATTTGGGGTGCTTGCCTTAATACTAAGCAGGTTGTGGTGTCTGTATACCAAATCTTGTTTAACACTGGTTAATGTTGGACAATGACTGGGTTATGTTAACAACTTTGACTCTTTCGGCTCATGTATGCCATCTAAATTAGTACCACAAGCCTACTATGGAGGTGCTGGTAATGACTTCATAATGTTGGCTGAGTTCAACTCTGCACTTAAAGCCAGGATTCAACCTCTTTGCTATTGTGTCCAGCGTAGTTACAAGGAGCTGGCCATGGACTGTAATGCGAGTGTGTGAAAAACATCTCAGTCGGAAACAGGAGGATCTCTGGGTGGACAAGCATAGCAAGGGGCATTCCTGAAGTACCACGGTTTGCTGAAGTTCAGAGCAGTATAGCTGGGTTCAGAGACACCAGATCAGCAGGCAGGGGAACAAGATTCAAGATTCACAAGTGCAGAGTGGATCCCTTTTGGCTGAGGCCAGAAGCAAGATCTACAGGCCTTTCTCTTGTCAACTGATCCTCTGGGAACCACTCCACTCTGACAATGTAACTGTACTGGCTGCTCACATTCGCTGATGGAGACTCTTGGATTAAGATTTTCATTCATGATATAAGGGACCTTCTCAGTTCAGGATTGACTTTCATTGGGGGGGCCAGTGCCCTATGTTCAGGATAACAGTTCTGTTTGCAGCAGAAGTAAGGGTCCAGTACTTCTGACCAATCCTGCTGGAGTCCAGGTTTGGTGCCATTAGTGGGGTAGAGAGGAAGAAGCAGAAGAAGAAACAATCAGTTGTCTCTTTGTGCGTGGCTAAAACATCACTCTTTCTCCTGACTTGACTACTCTGTAAAAGCCTTGAGCGTTGACATTAACACAAGTGGGGGAAATCCAATTTTAAACACTAGGACCAAGCTGATATGGCATGCACTCTGAAGATGCATAAAAAGGCAGGAAGCCATCCTACCTAGTGAACTGGCCATGAATAAAGTCAGGCTGGAAATTAGAAGTAACCATAAGAGGAGTGAGATTCTGGAACAGCTTTCCAATAGGAGTAGTAGGGGACAAACTAACTAGTTTTAAGATGGAGCTTGATTGGATAATGAGACGGGGATTCCTGTGATAGCAGGGGACTGGACTCAAATGACTTCCAGTTCTTTGTTCCATAGAAGTTACAACCCAATGACTGAAATAAATGTTGCAGATGGCTTGTGCTTTGCACACCCTTTCCACAACCCCCCACATCTGTTGCACCCTCCCTTCACCAGTGGAAGCACACAGGCTTCTTGCAAAAGGACCCTCTGTGGCCATCAAGGATGGGGGCTAGCTTTGTATAAAAAGGGCTCAATCCTGTTTTAGGCAAGTAATACATACAGTAGAATTCACATAAGAAATGTACACAAAGTGATGCCTCATTATACATGATGGCCAGTTTGGGGCATACACAATTCCTGGCGGGCGTTCACTTTCTTTTTTAAACATCCTCATAAAGTTAATTGTGTACTCAAAGAGTAATTTGCTTTGTACTCAAAGCTGTAATTTTGATGTGCATAAGATGAGTTCTTCATATGTAATAACAAAATAGTTGAATCCCTGCTTTTTGTGCAAAACTCAATCCAGTCTTAACTATGGAACCATGAATAGCACTTCCATCATAAAACCATATGTCTCATGGAGTAGTTTTGAAGTTGGATAAAACCAACTTACTAATGCTTCTGTAAAATATACCTAAAACTAAAGACTTTAATTACTAACCTCATCCATACCACAGTCACATTCCTCCTCATCTTCTATTACACCATTACCGCACACCTGTGTTCCAAATATTTTCTTTTCTGGTATGTTAAGAAGGCAAGTTTTTCCTGGTTTTCTTATCATGTTGAAATAGACTGCTCTGGAGCAGTTACTGAACTCTGTGCATATGTACCGCCTGGACAGGGAGAAAATATCTAATACTAGAGAGCACTTTAATCTCTTGGTATAGCAACATGCAATGACTGGAAATTGAAGCTAGACAAATTCAAACAATTGAGAACTAAATGCAAAAAGGTGTAATGGGAATCTTAAATGTGGCATTTTCCTAATTTCTAAATGCTTGACTTTGCAACCCAAACAACACTCTTGAAGTAGAAAGGTGTATTATCTTCAGGCCATTCACCCAGATGAGATTTGGAGATCTGATTTAAAATTATACTAACTTCTCTAATACACAACACAGAATGGAGACAAACTGACTATGCACTTGTTACCTGGGGTTCTTTCAGACCAAAGCTCTTGGTAACTTTTACTCTGTGCGAAGTGGTGTCAGGAAATAAATCAGGGGAGACACGGTCGTCCAACCGATAGATGGCTGGCACAAACGGACAACACAAGAGTGCTTTCATTTAAAGCTAAACTTTACTTAGCCTCCAGCACTTACACACGTCTGCAACAGGTTAGTAAAACAACCACAACCCTCAATAATTACCGAAGCTGAGTGTGGCGCTCGAGTGGCACAGCAACAGCCCGTCTGCCGGTAGGGAACACAAGATGCATCCAGAGGGAGAGTCCCCCTACCTCATACTTTCCCCCCTTATTTTATACAATGACATGTCCCTTAAAGAAAACTTGTTACAAACAGTTTCAATGGTCCAACAAGAGGTTTTCTTCTGAGTATTGATTAACCAGGTGTGGGTTTTTTCAGAGTTTGCAGCCTTGAGGCCCCAATAGACATTCCTGGGGCACATCCTGCTCTTCTAAAATGCACATATCAGCAACTTCAACACAATTCTTATCAGGAAGGATGCAGGGTCAAGCTGGCCTTTCTGTGGCACCCCAAACTCCCTCCCCTCCTTCCTTGGTCAAGCTGAGACTGCTGAATGGCCAATTTACAGCCTGCTGACCTGGCTGCTTTTAGCAATAAGCCATAGTGGGTTTCAGGCACTTTACTGGTTTGCTGACATCTCCCCGTACACACTTAGGTATAAAATCAGACTATGCTTGACTCAGGAATAACACTGAACATTAAAAATGTATATACTGTAGCATCAAATCAACCCTGTATTATGTTTTCAATGGAATGTTCCCAGGTCAACAAGTTAAAATTGAAATGAATTAAAATACTTTTGATTTTATAATGAATCACAAAACCTGGGTCATTCTTTCCTGCAGAATGCTTCCATTAGTACAGACCTGATTGGTAGTCTTCCTGTATATGCAACTTAGAGCCCACCAGTAGTAGTTGAGAATTTCCCCCCTCTCACTGACTCCTCTCCCTTTTTCTCCAGTCAAAGTTTCCCAAAACTATAACTTCAGCTTAGGTTAGCCAGTAACTGAAGTGTGGGGGATGTGCAGTTTTGCACTTTGTCCACAGAAAAAATTCCCAGGTGAGAAATTCTTTCTGCTGCATCCAGGAGAGAGAAGAATGGTCAGAAAGAACCAGACATCATGGCTTTGGAGAACTCGGAAGGATGTCCCAGCAGGGGCCTATGAAAGGTAATGTTAGAAAAATGAAGATTACTTACCTGTAATCAGTTTTTCAATATGGACTATTCCATATGAATATTCACACTTATGGGATGCTCTGAGAGGTGAAACCCAAGCTAGTAATGCCACCTGGATAACTCACACACTTCCTTAGCAGACATTTTACATTCCATGGCAAGGATATAAAAGGCTGTGGCTCTCCAGCCACCTCAGTCCCCCCCCACGACTCCATTCAGGTCCCCTGGTAAGTAGGATTCCAAAGAAGTGGGAATAGAGGGGTGGGGGGTGTCCATAGGCAGGGTCAATCTCAAAGAACTCCAGTTACATGTACGTTATCTTCATTATTATTTCTTTGTGGGGCCTCTGCATACTCCCACTGATGGGATAGACTAACAAGCAGTAACTAACACAAGAGGGTGGGATGCAGATTCCTATAGACTCTAAGTCTAATAAGTAGTTCTTAGTGAAAGTATGCATTGAAATCCAGGTTGCTGCTCTACAAATTTCCACAAGAGGAAAGTGTTTGGAAAAAGCCATTGAAGCTGCCTTAGTCCTGGTAGAAAGTCCAACAGATCTTGTACTCTTGTCCCATTGATCTATACAGGGACCATTATTGTAATGGGTCCTGGTTCTGCTCTCCACTATCCACAACTGTCAGGGAGAGGCCCAGTTTGGAGGAGGGCTAGAGTGGGTCAACCTGGGACATAGCTGGAGAAGCCTGGCTGAAGCCAGGGCAGGAGTCTCAGCTGGAGGTGGGTAGGAGGCAGAAAGGACCCAACTCAGCATGCACCTCAAGTAACGTGTGACCCTCGAGTAAGCTGCTGCCTACAGTTTGTGTACACAGCAGTATAGGGCAGGAGACAGCAAGGAACAACTTCTTCTATGGTAATGGCTTCTACAGTGCCCGCTAATGGTTTATGGGATGGGAAGAAGAAGGGGAGCTAAGTATTGGCAAGGGGCTAGATGTTGCAGAGAATGGTGGGGATAAGGGATGAAGGGGTGACATGCCAGTCTTCTATCATCTCTCCATGTCTCAGTTTCCCATCTGTAAAATAGGGATAATTATGTCAAATTGAGACCTACTGATGAAAAAGCACTATAGAAAAGCTAGGGTTTATTATTAATTATTATTACTACAGTAGAACCTGAGAGTTAACGGACACCTCGGGACACCTGAAATGTTTGTAACTCTGAATAAAGCAGAGTTCGGGCTCCAGATCCAGCAGCTGACACTCCAGGCCAGGTTGTGAAAGTGGCACAGATCGCAGCATTGCCCTTGCTCTGCTGGCTGTGGCTGCCTTAAGCTGACAGCCCCAGCGCCTTGCTGTAAGTGGCTGCCCCACGTGTGGGGGTGAGAGTGGAACAGGCAGCCCAGATGTGCCTAACTTTTAGATGCAATACAGGCACAGTATAGTAATTGCTTTTTTTGAGTGTGTCTCTGCTGCTGCCGGATTGATTACTTCTAGTTTCACATGGTGTCCGATTGACCAGTCAGTCCGTAACTCTGGTGTTCGTATCTTTGAGGTTCTACTGTACCTAGACTTTCCACAGTAGCATAATAACTGCAAACCTCGGTAAGTACTACAGCTATCTAAGAGTCCACTAACTTCCACTAATAAATATTTTCCTTCAGTTTTAAAAACTATTAAATTAAATGCCATTTTTTAAAATGCAGATTTAAGGTTACCAGTTGATAGCCTGTGCCCTTCCAGAAATGGCAGAATTCAGATTTCTGAAAACCAGGAAATTCTGAGTTAAGGTAAAATTCCAACCTCAACTCTGACACCTTTGAGTGATACCCCAATATGCCCATAACACATACTCCCATTCTACATTTTCACTGTAATGGAGAGGTGGTACCTACACTTCCCCTACACTCAAATACTGATCCTGCTCTCCCCAACCAATACTATCCTTGTAAAATTTAACAACCACTTCATACTGTTTTACAGCCTCTTCACACCTGCACACTGGATACCTCCCAAAACTATATTTTCCCCTATCAATACTTAAATCCACCGACTGATCTCATAACCCACCTTACAATGAAATCTCCATATATCACAATCACAGCTCTTCCAAGCGGTTCCAATTTATTCCTCCACCATTCAATACAGCTACACCTAACACAGTGAATGCCTCAGGAGTGAATGCAGATGATTCTCAGTGGCTATTGCCAGCTCCTCGGGAACACAGTTATACTTTGGTGGGATATTACTTTAACTCTGTATTTCCTGGTTTTCAGAAATGTGAGTTTTGCTGAACTCAATATTCTGGAAGGGGAGGAGCTAATACATGAATGCATTTTTTGCCATTTAATAATTCCTTCTTTGGCACATGTATGAAGCTGAAGAAGAAGGTGGGTATCATCTCTGATACCTAAACAATGGACAGATGATGATCTTTTGATTTTTTGAAAAACAAACACCTAAAGATTTAGCTGTATTTCATGACTCATGGGTCTTAAACCTGAGTGCACAGGGTGAAGCCAAACTCCACCCTCCACCTGACAGCCTGCTGCCAACTGCTTACGTAGAACCTATGAAGCCCAGCCCCAGTTTGAGGCTCTGCCCCTGAGGTCCTATTGGTGGAGTCCTAAAGCCTCTGATTGGCCTTACTGAAGCCGGCAGCAAAAAGAGGAAGGTTTCAGAACAACTGGGCCCCTGCCTGTTCTGGACTTGGCAACTTGCACTTCCTGCTTCTGCTCCCATAGCTAGATTTCCTGGCATCTGATTCATGGTTCTGATCTTCAGTTTGCCTCCTACCTCTAAGGCCAAGGTATCCTGACATGGCCCGAGTCATGGTTCAGATCTCAAGTTTGTCTCCTGCTTCTGACCTTCCAGTATCCAGACCCAGATGACTTTCATCTCCTGTCTTCTGACTGTGGATTCTGGCTCTGACCAATAGGTCTGGCTGCCCACGACCTGGCCGTAAGAGTTTGTACAGGCCACAATAACCCTATGGGACTAAGCGTGGTATGAGAAGGGTGGACCCAGCAGCACCACCACAGCCACTGGAAGCATCAGACTGACCTGAACAGGCCTCTGCCTCCAGGTGGATAATCAGCACTGCAGGCCCAAGTTGCACAACTGGTTGGGAAAAAAACAGTGGCTGCAGGAGCAATTGAGGCAGCTCAGTGCCCAAATACCATGCCGTGAACACAGCCCGCAGCACCTTGTCTTGAACAGGGGCCTGCAGTACCCTTGCCTAAATGATTTACAGGAACCGCTGGCAGTTCCCAGGCTTCATGAACCAGTACTGACTTCTGTTTCTGATGCATCCCAAAATCAATGCCTATGACCAATCCAAGCCGATTCTTTTTAATCAGTCTGCTGACAGGAGATGTGTTAAACTGGGCCTCCCCTATGCTCAAAGGCCATAGGCCAGTACTTTCAAACTGGGATGCCATTCTCCAGTCAGTATCTTTGATCACTTGCACTGAGTTTGAACCAGTGAGGCCACTTT